TAATATATAATAATCGTTATATTTAATTTAGTTTAGTTTTACTTATATATATTATATTATATTACTTCAATTCATAAAAACATATATTTAAAATTTATATTAAAATTTATTTTACTTTTCATAATATTTTATGTATATTACATTTTAAATTGTTACTTTATTTAGTGATTGTTTTAATATTTGCTTGATTAAGTTTTCTTGTGTTCTACAGTTTTAAATAAATGGGTGTTAGGTATGTACCATATAATGATTGTGGCATAGTGGTTGGAAGTCTTGCCTACTAGCCTTTTGGCCCAGGTTCGAATCCAAAGAGCAACAAAAAATTTTGCCCAACAATGGTTATAAAAAGAAGGGTAAAAAAGTAATTTCCGCAACTTTTAAGTGAAAAACTGAAGAAAAACCGCACAACACGCGCGTGCACACCACTTTCGTTATCTTAGACGGTTTAGGGTGCTTCGCGCATGCAAAAGTACATTACAAGGGGGTTTCAAGTTTGACGCAATTTTTAAATTACGAGGGGAAAACGCGCAGATTTAGTATATTACAGGGATTTTGTGCAATTTACCCGATGTTATATCGAAGATTATCAAGAGATGATTAATTTGATATATTATATGTGTAAAACTAATAAAACATACAAAGTTATTAACTTTTAAAATACATTTACTATTCAACGGTTATAATAAGAAATGATATGGAAATGCAATTAATAAATGTAACATGACCATAAATAATCAACATATTTACAGATAAACCGGACTTAATTATTTTTGGTTTGGAAGTAAATTAAAATCTACCCAAGCCTAATAACGAAGTATGTAAGTTTGCCACATAGGATCTCGAAGCATGCGAGCTTACCATTTAGGCTCAGCACATTCTGAATTAATATATAGGGGAGATTTTTATTGACTTTATGCTTGAAACACATATTATTCTGAATTAATATATAGGGGTAATATAAGAAGAAACACATATATGAAACATTATAATAATATATTGCCATGAAATATAATCTTTAATGGTATTAATTAAAAGCTATAATTAAAAATAATAATAATAATAAATATGTGTTGAAAATTCAGAATGAAATCAATCGACTTTCAATGATTGTTGATTGCTAACGAAGTCTCTTTTCTCTATTTAATTAATATCGTCTTCATAATCATCATTATCATTGTCTTTATTTTTTTGTATGTAATTTTTTATATCTTCCTTTGTTGTCACGGTTATCAATTAGATTTAATTGTTAATTCAATGTTAATCAACATCGTTTAGATTTGATATATTTGTGTGAATGATTCAAGCCAATCATGCATTATACACAAATGTAAATTTTATTTTGATTTTTTCCTCAAGTAAAAAATATATACTATTAATAGTTTTGTTTTTTTTTTATTTCTAACATATTAAGAAAAAAGATTTAGAATAAAAATATTTAAGTTCACCTTTAATAATACACATTGTATAAATGTATTTTTGTGCTAATATATATGAATGTATTGTAAATCTAATTAACTTTGTTAGGATATTTTCAATTTCATGTCTTTCGATTATTGGGAGAGTTTTTTTTTTTAACTTAAATTTGGTTGGTAACATATAAAACTTAAAATTTGAGGTATGCTTGCAAGCTAATTCATATATACTTTTTTTTTTTCCCAAAGATGTCATAATATAAAATATAAATATTTATTTGAAAAATATTAGTGAATAATAACATGATTAGAGATACTTAATACATATAACCAAATATTTATAACCAATGTGTTCATCGAACATTATTGCATGTGCACTAGTTTTTTTATATATATGAAAATTCAAGACTACCTTACACGTTAAAAAAGGGTTCAATGACTTATAAATCAATGATTCTTTTATGTAATATTTTTATCTTAACGTGCATTGGTCCAGACAATAACTTTGGATCATATATAAACTCATTGCGAAAGGGATGATGCACCTTGATAAAAAATCTATCAATACAGTATCTAAAACTTTCTCAATTTGCATCATTTCAAGGCCCTAGGTATTATAATGTTGTTAATAATGATTTTCTTCGCTTTCAAAGAAGTGAGGCATAACAATTTTTGAATGAATATGGCTCGAATAATGTCACAAATAACGCTGATTATGACATCGTGAAGTAAACATATTCATTATTTTCATTTAAATGATTCTAATGATAACTATTTTGTAAATATAATAAATTTATGATTTCGTTGCATATTTGTTATTTTGTTTTCTGTAGTAATTTTATTGTTTTATTCATGCAAAAATTAAAATAAAGGATTCATAAACCGAACACATTATTATGGAAAATAATTTATGTTATATGTATTATTGAAAGGTGAACTTAAATGATATTATTCGAAATCTTCTAAAATTTTAATTATCTCGAAAAGTAATGAAAGCAAAAGTTACCTTATTAAATATAAAGAATAATGTTATTAATGTAATTAACTTAATATTATGAGATAAATTTAATAATATGATTGGCAATTTTGTTTTATAATAATTTAAAAATTATAAAAACTATTTCTATTGTTGGATTATATGTTTGTTTACTAAATAAATAAATATTTTGAATTATGAAAAATTATATCAGCTATATAGGAGGATTATACTTTGGCTTATGTCATTTTTAAAATATATGATACTTGATACTAATATTTTTCAATTTAATTTTATTGAAAAAATGAACAAAATTTCATCGAGACATGGATGTTAATAATTTAACTCTCTAACAGTGATAAGATTACACTAGTGACATCTAGTAAAGGACATTTTTTGGCAATCCAATTTTTTCAAAAAACAACTCCCCTTTTTAGAAGACTTACAGATTTTCAATGGCGCATACAAAACCTTACCTGAATTTTCTTGTGCTCAAACCTTTTGGTATGTTAAACTCTGAAATTTGGTAAGCCCATAGTGTAGGAATCAGTAGATCAAGAGAAAAGAAAAATATCACTATGGTATGAACGTTTAATTTTTATCATTTTGATGGAAGTCAATGAACAAATTTAAACAAGAAAAGAGCCAGTTCTAAGCATGTGCATTGCGAGCTAAACTAGTAGAAGAATGAATGTTCAAAGCATGTTGTGTCGTTTCCCTTTCCTTCACACTGCTACCAGAGAGATAGAATCACAGGAAAAGGAGTGGAAATTTTTTTTCAGTATTGACAAATTAAATACTCAAAACTAACCATGAGATAAAGCTCCCATTAAGGTCAAAGTACAGCATGTGAGGCCAGCATAAAG